CTGGGACCTCTGCAGTGGGGCCTTCACTAGACCCAGGTGACCGAGCGAGCTGTAAATCAGACACGGTGGCAGCAGTCAGCATAACCAGGAGCCCGAAAGAGACTGCCATGCTAGGCTTCCCAGAAAAAGCCGAGCTTCTTTCAGTAAGAGGCTTACTGGCGGAGTGGGGTGTCTCTGGGCATTTGTTGGATGAACTAACGAGCTCTGAAACACTTGCCTGAGCAGGGCAGAGATTAAGGGACTGCTGAAAGGCCCAAGACCTGAGCGAGGTCTGCCAGAGGGCACAGTTGAGAAAGGCTGTTCTAACAAATGACCCGTATCCTGAGTATTCCCTTAGGAATCCCCGTAGTTATAAGGATTGTCTGTGAGTTCTGTGTGGCTATTGCTACGAACTAGGGAACCCAGAAGAGATGTAGCTTGCTGTAGATACCAATGGCTGGTTTCAGAACTGGAGGGAAAAAAGGGTGGCGAGAGAAGTTTTGTCTGACCTCTGCCTCACAGGAATTACCCTTAGGCAGGTGATGCTGATAATAATTCTGTTTCCCCACTATGATGAACTAAATATCTTTAACATCAATGATATTCATAAAAACGATGTTTTCATATGCACCACTAAGTAGTGTTCAGTTACTATTACGAATCATTGTATATACCTCAAATTTTTAATACAGGGCTCATAACTACCAGTTGTAAGTTAAACTGGACCTTTGTAACCCAGCAACTGCCCATATCTGAAATTTAGATATAGAAAAACAGTAGGGTCTCTTCCTCCACATGGCAATTAATCTAAACGGGTTCTCTTAACTGGAACCCAGGAAGTTAGAGAAGCTTGACACTTTCAACAGTGAAGCTAGTGGGTTGGCATACCTGTTCAAAATCAGTCCTCTGGCTGGCAGCACCCCGGCTGTTCTGAGCCTGTGGCAGTGGTTCTCCTCCAGGGAGGTACTACCAAACATCTTACAATGCCCAAGACAATCTCCCACAAAACCAATTATACCGCATTAAGCGTCACTGTCAGGTAAGTGTTGGGCTACTAAGCTTCAAGTGCGTCGTTCAAACACACAAACTGCTGAGAGAGAGAAGACAGGTTACCTGCTCCTGTACAGAATGACAGCCCTGGAAACCCTATATAGGAGTGGCTATGAGTGAGAACTGTCAGTGGGTTTGGTTTTTTCCCATCAAGCGTCAATAGTTACACTGTTGAGAAACCCTGGTTTGAGAGAACAGAGCTACTGATTTTTCCCACTTGGTGATCACGGGTGCCTTCTAAGAGCCTGGGCCGCCAACTGGCACTAGTGAAGAACAGAAAACTCCATTCAGTTTGGGAGAAAAACAGACCCTTATCACTTAATTCCATCATATCTTGGCATGCTGCAAGCATTTTTTTTGTTTTGTTTTGTTTTTGAGAGCTCTAATGGCTAATCTCAAACAGTTCCTGTTTCCACTACTCAACAATCCAGTGTCTTTACACAACTCTCCCTGGAGAGCCATTCTGTTTTGATTCCCCACCCCCCACCCTCATCATTCCTCTTCCTATAGGCATTCTAATGTGCTTACGATGTATATTTTTGTGTGTAATTTAATATTACAATTGTATCATGTCTTCCTGTGAATGGAATTTAAATGTAATGGTATTGTTATGTATCTTTCTGTTTCTAGTACTATGTACTTTGTACTCAGTAGGATGCTGCTACCATCCCCACTGTGCTTTTACCTGCAACTCCAAATCATGGTATGCGTCCACTCTGCTGTATCGATTTACTCTCTCAGCTAGACGTTCCATCGCCTCCACCTCCTCACTGCCACAAGCAACACGACAACATGCCCTTCAGGGATTAACACTCTACATGTCTCCTCAGGGTGTGTGTACACTCTGACTGGTGTTCTGCAACACTCTTTGAATGGCCACATCAGTCTGTTCCCGGAGTCCATGCAGGCCCATGATTCCTACCGATACTTGGCATTGTATAACGTTCTCGTTTTCTGATCATCTGATAGTGACAAGTTATGTGTCAATGTGCCTTTCCTTAGTAGTGGCTTTCACCACCTCTTCACGTCCTTTTCTACAGATCGCCAATCCATGTCTTTTGCCTATTTTCCTACTGGAGCTACGTCATGCTTGTGTTAGGTGCTATGGAGCCAGTTGGGACTCAGTGACCCGCTGTACAACAGAAACACTGAAGCACTGCTTTGTCCTGTACCACTCTCACGATGGTTACTATGCTTGAGCTCTCTGGGGCAACCGCCCTGTCAATCCATCTCATTGAAGGTGTTCTGCTTTTTTGCCCCCTGCTGACCCTCTACTTTACCAAACATGCTGACCCTTTCTCCAGAGACCGGTCCCTCCTGAGAACATGGCCCAAGCATGTGAGAAGAAGCCTCACCATTCCCGCGCTGAAGGATCACTCTGGCTATCCCTCTCCCAAGACAGATCTGTTCACTCTTCTGGCAGTTGCTGTTATATTCAATACTCTCCACCAACATCGTAGCTGAAGGTATACATTCTTTCTCAGCTTTCCTTATGCATTTTAGGAGCGGTAATACTGATTCGGAGGAGCTCCATAATCACTACCCCTATCTTCTCCTATTCTGCTACCAGTTAAATTACCTATAGTGTCCTTTAAAAAACAAAAATTCTTACGTTTAATGTAATATAATTTTTCACATCTCTATCTTTTTTGCCTATGTATATATTTCAATTAACTATAATTTCATCTTTCATAATTAGGACTTTAATACATCATCTTTCTTGTATGTACTGTTATGTAAAACTCTAGTTTTACATTTTCACTATATGGTGAACCAGTTTTCTCAACAAAATCTCTTTAATTATGAAAATGTTTTTCATTGATTGGTGGCTATACTTTTATTGTATATTAAGTTCTCATCATACATGGATCTGTCTTGGGATTCTTCGTTCTGTTCTACTGATCTTTATCATCTGCTTTCAGGTTACAGCTTAACATTCGGTAAGAGTCCCTCTCTTGAAAGTTGCTTTCTTTACTAACTTTATTCCTGGACTTCAGGCACCAAAAATGTAAGTTGGACTGCTAACCACCAGCTGCTATATGGGAGGAAGCGGGGGCCATTTGCTCCCGTACAGAGTCACAGAGTAATATGGTCAGTGAGCCTGCAGCTGACTGGATGGCAAAGGTTTGGAGTTTGGTAGGAGGAGTTATGTACTCCTCCCCGTACTCTCCTCTCCTCTAATGGCCCTCCCGTCCAAAGTCAGTATTATCCCAAATCTTGATTGTAATATTTTCTTGCTCTTTAAAATAAAGTCTTACCATACAAATACATGCTTTAAAAATATACACAGTTTAGTTTAATTTTAACTTTCTAAAAATGTCAGCACATTGTTAATGCACTGCTGAGCTATACTATTTTCACTCAATATTATATTGCTACGACTCAGCCTTATTTTTGGCCATTTGGTTATTGTATACGTTTTATATAATAGCTATTATTTTATATTATATAATACTGCATGTACTTTGTAACAAAAAATTATGCCCCTCAAACAATTTATTTTACCATGGAATGGTTCTCATGGTTGAAAATTTCTTCATAATAATTAGCTGAAATTTGAGTTCTTAAACTTCATTTCAACAGGCTCAGGATCATTTGGTGCTAAGGTCAATTGGCATAACATAGTTCATCAAGACAATTGTCCTCATCCTACTTTGGTTTTTTTTGTGTTTTTTTTTTTGCGTAGTCGGCAGGATACGAACCTCATCCTACTTTGGAGAGTAGTGAATGGGGTCAAGAGCTCGTGAGCAGCCCTCGGAGGTACAACTACTGGTCTCTCTGTCCAGAGGAAAGGCGAATGATGAAAATCAAAGATGCAGCATGGAAACAATTAGTCCGATGGACTAATGAACCATGTGGACATTAGTCTCCACGACCATGAGACATGAAAAACTAGATGGTATCTAGCTGCTACTATCAACTGCGCTAAAAGGATCACATTAGCAGGTCCTGGATAGAGTGGAGCAAAACCAGGTGAAACAACTCAAAATCATAAGACAAACCTAGTTACTGGTCAGAAAGAGACTGGGGAACCCTGAGACCATGGCCCTTAGTCACCCTTCAGGTCTGGAAATGAACTCACCTCTAGGGCTCAATTGTCCGTCAACCAATGCACAGGTCAGACCAACTTTCAACAATGGATTCTTTAATACAGTGATTCTCAATCTTCCTAATGCCGCAACCCTTCAATACAGTTCCTCATGTTGTGGTGGCCTCCCCAATCATAAAATTATTTTCGTTGCTACTTCATAACTGTAATATTGCTGCTGTTATGAATCGGGTGGCCCCTGTGAAAGGGTCATTTGACACCCACCCCCACACTCAAAGGGGTCACGACCCACAGGCTGAGAACTGCTGCCTTAATACTAATAATGAAAGCACAAAACACAAAAGGTAAAATAAATGGAACCTCATAAATTTTTAAAACTTTTCTTCATCAAAAATCTTTACCAAAAAGAGTGAAAGAAAAGCTACTGACTGGAAGAATATCTTCAGCAGTCATCTGTCAAATAATAATTGAAAACCAAAAAAACAAACCCACTGCCACTGAATCTAGTCTGACTCATAGTGACCTACAGGACAGAGTAAAACTGCTCCTACGAGTTTCTGAGAGAGAAATTCTTTACAGGAATAGGCAGTCTCGTCTCCATTGGGGCAGCTGATGAGTTTCAACTGCTGACCTTGAGTGGGCAGCCTAACACATAACCCAGAGTCCCATTCCATCTGAATTGTTCCTAATACATACCTCCTTCATGAATCTGTCACACAATGTTTAAAAATGGAAGAACCTACTTTTTTGGGGCCATAAAAGTAGTCACATGTTCTATTTTTGTTTCGCCCTTTGAATCATTTATACATATTCAGAACACATACTATGAGCCAGTCACATGACTAAACTTCATTGTTATGGTCTATTCTAAAGGATCTCTTGATGGTTAATTAATAAAGAAGTGAGAAGCAAAGTGGCTTACATTGTAGGAGCGGGGGTGCCTCTGTTTCCACTGCACCAGGAGCAGCTGGGCCACCACCAAGGTAGCGATAAGGATGAGGACCATCTCAGCATGCATGGCTTCGTGGCCACGGTGCTTGGCATGCATGCGTGCATGCTCGACCCTGAAAGTCAAACAGAAGGAGTGAGACAAGTCAGAGCTGCTGTGGTAGTAAAGTGGCCATGCTTCCCAAGGATATCCTCCCAGTCTGGAACTCAGGTACATTCCTGAGTCTGACAGCTGCAGGATTACTGTGCAAATTAGGGACCAGATGGGCACACCCTAGAGCAGGAGTCCTCAAACTCTGGTTCGAGGGCTACATGCGGCCTGCCGAGGACATTTATCCGGCCCACCGGGTGTTTTTGCCGCCGCTGCTTGTCCTGCTTAGCAGCCGACTCGTCCAGTGTACATAGGAATTTGTTCACAGTTTTTTTTTAAGACTATAGTCTGGCCCTCCAATGATCTGAGGGACAGTGAACTGGCCCCCTGTTTAAAGTTTGAGGACCCCTGCCCTAGAGGATAGGCATTTGGGGATAGAATAGGACTATTTGATCTACAGGAACTAAGTTTGGCTTTTGGAATTAGAGGTGGTAGGGAAGCTGCTGTTTCCTCCTACTCCCAGGGAAGAAACAACTGACATCTTCCCCACAGAGAAAGAGGTCCCAGAAGATGTCAGGGGCACTGCCAAGAATTCAGGCCTGTTTCAACCTCTCACTGAAAGGGTTAAGTATTTACAGAGAAAGTTATAGCCATAAATCTTCATCGATATTTATGACACCAATAAATGAGTAACAAGAACACCGAAAGTATGTGCTGATACTAGGGTTGAAGTCTTGTCTCAGAGTCTTCCTAATCTCCGTCAGACCAGGGATTGTTAAACTTGAAGAATCCGGACAGCTTAAACTTTGTACTGACCCACCGATGACTTCACCCCCATAACCCACAGGTAAACAGCCTCCCTTAAGCCCCAAGAATGTTCAGTAACTAGATAATACAGATGGGATTCTTAATCTAAGGTTGGCATTTCTGGTCCCGATTGTTGCTAGTAAGTAGGTAATTGCCATCAGTAATAGCAAAAAGTTTCCTCTGAGAACAGAGCAAAATAATTTTTCTCACTAGTGTGAGTCAAAGTCAGCCCATAGAAGAGAAGAGAGGAAGGACTTAGAAAGAGAATCAAATGCAAATGTAGCCTGCAGCCAGAGTTTTCCAACAAATTCCCAATGATGGCTTTATGGGATCCCCCAGGGCAAAGGAGATGAACTGTAGGAAGAATCCAGTGGGATGAATCATGGATATGTGACATGATAAGACGTGTAGATCAAAAAGTTAATTGTCGGATCTAGGTGGCAGGTGCAAGGGTATTCCTGTACAACTTTTTCAACTTTTCTATATGCTTAAAATTTTTCATAGTAAAATGAGTACAAAAATAATATATATAAATAATAAAATAAATGCCTCTGGAACCATTACAGGAGTAGCCAGCCAGCTACAGCATCTAAAGCAGTGGTTCTCAACCTGTGGGTCGCGACCCCTTTGGGGGATCAAGCAACCCTTTCCCAGGGGTTGCCCAATTCATAACAGTAGCAAAATTATAGTTATGAAGTAGCAACGAAAATAATTTTATGGTTTGGGGGTCACCACAACATGAGCTGTACTAAAGGGTCATGGCATTAGGGAAGTTGAGAACCACTATCTAAAGGTTCATCTTGCATGAAGCTGTATCTTGGACGTAGACTCTGTATGAACCAGGTTCAGTGAGGGGCCGGCCCCAATCCCAACGACATGGACAGCCGCCCCTCCCCACAGAAGAATTTATTTCAGAGGACAGCACTGAAGCTGCAGCTCTGGGAAAGGAATATGTCTGATCAGGGCACACGGGAGCAAATGAAGGGGGAGGAAGAGAGAGTGGATCACATCCTGGCCCACCAAGCCTTGAGGACAATATTCCCGCTCAGAGCAGCCAATGCACATAGAGGGCCATATGGCCGGCCCCACTATGAGACACGACATCCCTCACTGACCCATAGCCCTACAGGGGACAACACTGGAGACACAGTATGAGAATTGTGCCCGATCTGATCCTACCACATCGAGGCAAAACACTAAGGATGTGCAACAGAACAGCAAGGGGAGCAGAGCAAGGAAGTCCCGAGGGAGTACCAAAAATAGACTTTGGGGCCATGATGCTCATCTTCCCCACACGATATCTGAAGACAAATGGGCGCACAAGCAAATGTGGTGAAAAAAGCTGATGGTGAGCATCTGGGGTCTTAAAGGCTTGAAGGTAAACAAGCAGCCGTCTAGCTGAGAAGCAACAAAGCCCACATGGAAGAAGCACACCAGCCTGTGTGATCACGAGGTGTTGAAGGGATCAGTTATCAGGCATCAAAGAACAAAAAACCCTATCGTTGTGAATGAGGGGGAGTGCAGATAGGGGACCCAAAGCCCATCTGTAGACAACTGGACATACCCTTACATAAGGGTCTTGGGGAGGAGACAAGCAAGTCAGGGTACAGTGTAGCAACGATGAAACATACAACTTTCCTCTAGTTTCTAAATGCTTCCTTCCCCACCCCCTATCATGATCTGAATTCTACCTTACATATCCAGCTAGACCAGAAGATGTACACTGGTACAGATAGGAACTGGAAACACAGGCAATCCAGGACAGATAATCCCTTCAGGACCAGTGGTGAGAGTGGCGATACTGGGAGGGTGGAGGGGAGGTGGGAGTAGAAAGGGGGAACTGATTACAAGGATCTACATATAACCTTCTCCCTAGGGGAAAGACAACAGAAAAGTGGGCAAAGGGAGATGTCAGACTGTGTAAGATATGACAAAATTATCAAGGGTTCATGAGGGAGGGGGCGCAGTGAGGGAGGAGAAAAAAATGAGGAGCTGATACCAAGGGCTGAAGTAGAAATCAAGTGTTTTGAGAATGATGAAGGCAACAAATGTACAACTGTGCTTGACACAATGGATGGATGTATGGATTGTGACAATAGCTATAAGAACCTCCAATAAAAGTATTTTAAAAAAGAAAAAGAATCAGGTTCAGAAAGAACCATCTTAGTGGCCTTGGCTGAGAAATTCCCATCTCTGTATCACAATTTCTTCATCTGTCAAAAGGAATTAATAACTGTTCTGCTTCTCCCCTAGAGTTTTCATGATATGATAAATCAAAAAGAGTGGAAAACACTTGTAAAACCTTATGGACGGCAGGAGGTTGTAAAGGCATCAAGAGACAAGTTTCTTAGTCTCAGACGGAATAGAACTGAATTGATGTGTACAACAAAATCAACGAATTTTTAAAGACCAGAGACATTATCCGGAGATAAGCTCCCATGTATGCAAAAATTATTTTTATGAATGTTTGTTGAAATACTTCCATGGATTGCAAATAGATGGCTCCTGAAGTAACCTATCCTAGACCCAACATGGTCTGGCACATTGATTTTCTTATGAATGAATACAATCCCAATGCTTTCAGGGACAAGACATTCACCACCTCCCAAGATACCTGATTACTAAAAGATGCTTCTAGTAAGACAAAACCAACTGCTTTACAGCTACCATTGGTTGAATCTAATCCTATACTCTGGAACAACAACGGACACAGCTACTTTTCTTCCTCAGTGCCACCCCTTCAAACATTTACCATGATCCTACTTAAGACAAAAAAGCAAATTGTGACTTCCGCAAAGTAGAACCCAATAGCACTGTCACATCTCTTAAGTCAGATAATAGACCTCTATGGACATCTTCAAGGAGCCCTGATCATGTAGTGGTTATGCACTGGGCTGCTAATGACAAGGCCAGCAGTTTGAAGCCACCAACCACTCCAAGGGAGAAAGATGGGGCTTTCTACTCCCATAAAGAATCAGTCTCAGAAACTCACAGGGGCAGTTCTAAACCTGTCACTATGAGTCAGCATCTACTTGATGGCAGTGAGACAGATATCTTCTAAAATGTTTGCACTATTGGTAGCTAACGTGCACAACTGGTGCATATGCAGCTTATTGCTGATGTTAGCTGAAGTTAACTCCTTCTAAAATCACCCTGACAGCCATCTAAGCAAGGCATCAACTAAGTCCGCTTGGAGGAATCATTCAGCAGGTGTGATCCAAGGAATGAATGGTATAATTGTGAACACCTGGTTTTCAGAAGGCTACGGATGACAGTGGAAGCCCAAAATCCATTTGCAGGCTCCACACAAGGATTAAGCCTCTGGTGAATCCCCTCTAACTATAGCTGAGGGATGTGAACAACCTTGTTATCAGACAGAGAGCATTGTAAAGTTGATGATGGAAGATATAATTAGGTTTAAATGTAATATTTTATCATTTGCTCTCTTTTTTGACCCATTTTAAAGTTGTTTCTGTTTAAAAAAAAAAAAAGTGAAGGGAAAATACATGTGGATTAAGCCTCTAGTGAATTCCCTCTGACCAGAGGCCAGGGACGTGAACAGCCTTGCTACCATGCAGAGTGTACTGGAAATATTACTGCAGATACAGTATTAGGATAAAGTTTAACACCATCACTTGATCTCTCTTTCGACTCAACTTGTTCTAGATTTTAATATTTTCTGCTTTCTTTTCTACTGTAGTTCTGTTTTGTATTTTTATTGTTGGGTTTGTGGGGGTTTTTGGGTATGTTTTTCTATATATGAAATCCAGGATAGCCAAATCTGTACAGAAAGTAACTGGATTAATGATTTCTTGGAGATATGGTAGGGGAGGTTGAGGAATTTTTTCTAAAATTGACTGTGTTGATTATTGTAAAACTCTTGTACGTATTATTAAACTTTCGAATTTTATGATATGTGAATTATATGCCAGTAAAACTGTTAAAAATGTTCTAGAAATTCAGGTGGGATATACTCATAGTTCAATTTTGACTCTTCGAGGACTTGCCTCATTTTGGCTGCTAATATAAAGCTTCTCCACTGTCTCTTCCTGCAGATGTAGTCAATCTGATCCCTGTGTAATCTGTCTGGCAAAGTCCACGTATGCAGTTACCATTTATGTTGTTGGAGAAAAGTATTTGCAATGAAGAAATAATTGGTCTGGCAAATTCTATCATGCAATCTCCGCTCCTTTCTATCACCAAGGTCATATTTCCAACTACTGCTCCATCATGTTTCCAATTTCTGCATTCTGATCGCCAATAATTATCGATGCGTGTTTAGTGTATGTTTAATCAAGTTAATATCAAAAAATTTGGTAGAATTCATTCTCTCAATTATTAGCTTTAGGGGTTGGTATGAAAATTTGATTAATAGTTGTATTAACTGAACTTCCTAGCAGATGTATAGATATTTTCCTATCAGACAGCATTGTACTTCAAGATAGACCTCGGAATATTCTTTTTGATGATGTATGCGAGGGCATTCCTCTTCATTTTCATTCCTGGCATAACAAGCCATGTGATTATCTGATTCAAAATGGCCAATACCCTATTTTAGTTCACAATGCCTAGAATATTGATCTTTAAGCAGTCCATTTCATTTTGAATGATTTCCAGTTTTGCTGGATTCCTACTTTATATGTATAAATTCTATGCTCTGGTTAGTAATGGATGTTTGCAGCTGTTTCTTCTTTTGAGAAAAAAAAACGTCCACCTGTCATACAAGGGGGTACCCCCAAAAAACCAGAATTGTGCTGGGCAGAGTGGAGCTTTCTTAGGATGCATTTTCCCCCAGTAGGGGATCGAGCAACTCGCTCTGAGTTAGTATACGCAATGGTGTTGCCTGGGAAAGTTCGCTCTGGTCACAGTGAATTTTTTCATAAAAGCAGTTTCACTCAAACCTCATTTTTTGTGATGGACAATTTTAAAGAGAACCGTGTGAGGCTGTGAAATTTTGTTTCCTGCTCGGGAAAAATGCCGCAGAAATTGCTGTGATGTTGAACACAGCTTACAAGGACGGCGCTATGGGAAAAACTCAAGTGTATGGGTGGTTTTCTCGTTTCAAAACAGGTGAAATGTCGATTGATGACAAACCTCGTTCTGGATGTCTGTCAACTTTCCAAACAGACGAAAATGCCAACTTGGAGTTTGTTCCACCAGGTCAGACTATTAATCAAGCCTTCTAGTTAGAGGTTCTGAAAAGATTGTGTAACAGTGTGCTTCAAAAAAGACCTGATTTGTGGCAGATACGGGACTGGCTTTTGCACCTGCTGACACAGCCATCTCAGTGCCCCAGTTTTTTGGCCAAAACAGCATTCCTCTCTTGCCTCACACACCTTACTCACCTGAGCTTGCTGTGTGCAACTTCTTTTGTTTCCGAGAATGCAGAGGGGCATGAAAGGACAGAGATTTGACAACACAGAAGAGGTGAAGAAAAAAAGGAGGGAGGTGTTGTTGGTCATCCAAACAGATGAGTTTGAAAAATATTTCCGAGAATGGAATCGTAGATTTGACAAATGTATTGAGTGTAATGGAGTAAAAAATGTAGATACATAGCTTTGAAAAAATAATGCCATGGGGTGTTTTTTTGGGGGGGGACCCCTATACTGCGGTGGCTTGTCAATTGCTATGTCACAGGTATTTCAAATACCAGCAGGGTCACTCAATGTGAACAGATTTCAAGAAAACTTCAGAATAGACTACAAAGAAAAAACAGGTTATCTACTTGTGAGGGATTAGTCAATGAGTCAATGAAGAACTGATGAATAGCAGTGAAACATTATTAGATGCAATGCTGGAAGTGGTGGGCAGGCCCTTAAAATACACCTGAGGAAGAGCCTCCCCCCAACAGATCATGATGATGTGAAAAGAGTAAAGCTTTCAGGATCTTAATTTGCTGATGGGGCATGACTCAAAACAAGAAGAAACAGCAGCAAACATCTACTTACTATCCTATATTTGTACAATTAATAGTTTTAATCTAAATAAAGGGTTTTTTCTCACTATTAAATTTTACCTGGTTACTTTAAGCTCAATGATCAACCACTTTGTGAAGCTTGTGGGGGCATACTCTCTGAAACTTCTTAACTGCTGGGAAACCATGGCACTTAGATGATGTGTGTTCACGCATTCTGGTTACAAAGCAAGTATGCATGATGATAAAGTCAATAATCATCACCTTCAAAACAAGTAACAGTTACAAGAAAGAAGCTTACCACATGTGATTTTACTGTTCTAAGGGCTTCATATATATTAATCCTTACAACAATTCTATAAGGTAAGTACTGTTATGATCCTGATTGGAATACTAAAGCAATTAGAAGTAACATTCCTGAGATTATATAGCTAGTAAAAATAGGAAAGCTGATACTCAAATCCAGATAAATGGAATAGTAGGGTCCCACTTACTCCCTAGGACCCAAGGAACTACCCAGAAGTAACCCAAAACTCAAACTAAACTCACTGCCATCGAGTTTATCCTCACTCATAGCATTCCTATAGGACAGAGTAGAATTGCCTCTATGGGTTAAGGCTATATATTCTTTATTGGAGTAGAATTCATCATCTTTCTCCCAAGGAGATTTGCTGTTAGCAGTCCAATGTGTAACCCAGATCTTTCAGGGACCAGGAAATATCCTAAAAGATCTGTCCTTCCAGTCATAAGCCACCTGTTTCCCATAAGTCATGAGGAAACAGAATGAGAGATATACACCTCTACTACTTGGGCTAATGGCTAACCTGTAGTTCCCAGCATGAGGGGCCCCCTGCACTGTCATACTTACCTCCATTGCTCCTCTGGAGACAGGTCTGACATATCCACCTGTAAAAAGACATCACATACACAAAAAAAATCCATTACTATCTTAGAAGTGTCCCTACCCAACAGAAAGTGCTCACACATTACTGAGTATGTTCAAGGAATTAGGGGAAGCTTCAAGCCTTACACTCTCCATGCTTTCCTCAACATGGCATTTCCCATAGATCTTTCCCTTCTCTAACTAAAAGGTAAGAAGATTAGGGATAGAGGGGGTTGTCTCCACCAAATGCCTCCGCTAAACAAAACTTAGCTGGCCATGCCGCAACAAAGCGGTCAGAAATAAATCAAGCACACATTAGACACCTAGGAGGACAATCCAAGCTGTGCACACTCAGACCAAGGTCACCTAGACACAAGTGAAGGTCAACCTGGACACACACACTAGGCACCAGCAATATCATGTCACAAGTGCCCCTGAACTTAGCCACAAGAATGGCCAATATCCTGCAGTCTTCCAGCTCCTGCGCTGCCCCCTCCCCCTGCAGTGGGGATAGGAGGGGATATTAGCACAGGCTGAAAGCAGGGCTTGGTCTCTGTCAGCCTCTTTTCAGGTCAGAGGGTGGGATATCTCCCGAGCGCGCCCTCTCAGGGCTCAGACACACTCTGGTTCTGCATTCTTGTTCTAGGACTCCTTTCATGGTTTTTTGTTTTGTTTTGAGCTCCCCTGAACAGGCCATCTTCAGTCTGGAGCTCTTGTGTGGTCCCCCGCACAGCCTTGCATGCTTTTCAGAGACAGTGTGTACCATCTGAGACTGTAATACATACCTGAAACTTCCCTTACGCTCATAAAAGTTACTTGGACTTACAAAGGTGCTTCTGCCACGTGAATTCTTTCAGTGTTGAGAAGCAAGAACTAAGGTAAACCATCCCAGAAACCTAACAATCATTTCATGTTGACTTCCACCTAAAGTGTGTTATAGTTAGGCGTGTGCTGTGGTGAGCAATGAGGAAAGAGTGAAAACTCCCCAACTCCAGGAAAACCATAGTCCAGCAAAGAAGCAGACATATAAACAGTTAATTTCTTAACTGTATGCTAAAGATTAGCTTTGGCTTCTAGCTCAATATGGGGTGCTACATATTAGGGAAGGCTTCCTGGACAAGATGTCTAGTACCATATATACTTGAGTATAAGCTGACCCGAATATCAGCCAAGGTACCTAATTTTACCACAAAAACTGCATTAAAAATGTGCTGAAAAACTCGGCTTATACATCAGTATACGCGGTATCTTTGGATACTATATGAAGAAACAAAAGAAGGTATTAACAAAAACACAAGCGAAAAAAGTAACACCTTTCTCTTTACCCAGCTTGACCTATGCCTTGACAAATCATTCTACTCAGTCCCAAAACACACAGGGCTCATTCCTGTTTCTAAGTGTTTGCATATACTCTTCCTTTAGCTCTCTTTTGCCTCCCATCCAAATCTAACCCATCCTTTGAGAACACAGCTCCAACTTCACCTTCCTTAGCAAAGTCTTCCCTGAACCCCTCGGTTCATGAATTCAGCCCTCTACTTTTCTTTAGCAGTATTTTCTCCTGCCAGGATCAGCAGCATCTGGGAGCTTGTAGAAATGCATAATCTCAGGTACCACTCCAGATCTACTGAGTCAGCACCTTCTTTTTACTAAGCTCTGTAGGTGATGTGCATGTACACTGAAATTGTAAAGTACTGTTCTATACTATTCATTCACTTTTATGTCCGCTTAGACAATACTTTCCAAGTGAGCTAACTGCTCTGACATATGATCAGGTCTAGGGTAAAGAAATAAGGGGCCCATGATAATCAATTTATGGAAGCACCTCACTCCGTGGTACCAACCCTGCATCTGTTTGACCATGAGTGTGTCTCCGTAAAGTTTGGGCCATAGTAGCTTGCTTGCATTACCTTAGTTTTGGTCCTATTTATATCTTCTTCCCACTCCATAAATCTAGGAGTTCCCTCAGAACCAAGACACATTGAAAACTGCTTTTGGGGACTTTTAAGGAAAATAGTACAAGCTAAGCATATATTAAGTACTCATAGAACTAAAACAGAATTCTCTTCAAAAACAAAGATGTTGACAAACCAGTAACCCACCTGGAGACATTTAAATTACAAAAGAAACAAACGTGAAAAATAAACAAGCATCTGAAAAAGAAATATTCAAATAACACTCAGGGATCGTGTTAAAATCTACTTGCCAAAACAAAGCAAACTACAAGTCTAAGAAAGCCAGATCAGTCTACTGAAGAGGAAATAAGGAACACTGGGGAGATCAGTGAATGGGCCAGGCATAAGGACTCTTCTCACTGAAACAGTGAGCCAAGCATTCCAGGCTTGTGGCCTTAGTTTCTTCATCTGGAAAAAAAAGGGAATTAGACTTCTGACTGCGATACAGGGCTGTGACAGGAAGTGCATTCAAGATAACCAAGTGATTCCATAGCCTTCCTCCCGGGAGAGTGGCCATATTTGTAAACTCTGAGGAGGAGGAGGAGCTCTTCCAGAGGCTCCGGGAAAGCATCTCAGAAGGACAGGGCAACAAGCGACGAGACTTTAGGGTGAGAGGTTCCCTTAGCGCTTCACGGAGCATACAAATGCTGAGGGCGAAGAGATGATCTGGCTTTAATAACGGCCTCCTTATTTCAATTACATCCAAACCAGGCTTCTGGTTCACGTGAAAAAAACAAAGAAAACTGTAAACTATAGTTATAATTAACCTGTAGCACCTGGAGGGATGTGTTTACTTGCTCCTTCATTAATGAGTTTATCCATTTGGGGCCAAGCACTAACCCATTCTAAAGAACCCAGGTAGTTAAATGTGTAGGCTCTGAGGACTAGGGTCCTGAGTGATAGACCCAGGTCCAGCTCCTTCAACCTCACATAGAATGTTTTAATGCCAGCCAATCAATTCTTACGATCTCCCAAGGCCCCTAACCATGCCAATTTACATAAGTCCCAGGTTGAAAAAAAGTTAAACAGAAAATGGCACAATGGAAAATATGTAGGGGGTAGGCTGCTATACTGAGATACACTGTAATCCCCACAAACATGGCTCTTGACCCTCACAAATATTTTACATGTGGTCTCTGCATCTTAACAAATCTTCACTTTGTCCCTTAAGTCTCTCTTTCCTATCAACCTACATACTGTTTCCCTGCCCCCTCCAAAAAAACCGTGGCCAAATCCTCCTCACTCCAGACGGGTCCTTTAAACTGACCCATTCACTGAAGACAAACATCTTCAGTTGATTTGCTTTCAAAGTGTCATCCACAGACCAGCGTTATTAGCTCCCTGAGGGCTTGTTAAGAAATATGAAATCCAACTCTCTCCCAGACCTCCTGAATCAAAATCTATTTAAACGAGAATATCCATATGCCTACTGAAGTTTGAGCTTTGTTACTGCATCCCAGTAACTAATCAGTATCACTCTATCCTCCACAACCCTAGACAACTTCCAGCTTACTCTTTCTCTCTCTGCAGATATGCCCGTTTCAGATATTTCATATAAAATCATACGATGTGTGGTCTTTTGTGACTGCCACAGCATGTTTTCAAGATTCATCCTTGCTACAGCATGTATCGGCATTTTACTTCTTTTTATGGCTGAATAATATTCATGTTGTATTTATCCATTCATACCCAGACATATGGGTTGTTTCCACTTTGGGGCTACTGTAAATGCTGCTGCTACAAACACACATCTATAATTTCTGGGGGGTGGACATGTTTTTAATCACTTTAGTATGTATATACCCAGGAGTGGGCCGTGCGATCATAACTGTAACTCTTTGCTTAACCTTTTTGTAGAATGACCAGTTTGTTTCGAAAGTAGGCACACCATTCTACATTCCCATCAGTCATGTACAAGGGTTCCAATTATTCATATTATCAGTATCTTGTTTTATTAAAGCATCCTAAATTTTGTGACAAAAGAAAGGACTGGCAACCTACTGCTAAAAACTCAGCCACTGAAGTCTATGGAGTCCCACTGACACACATGCAGTCACCATATATAAACAGACAAGTATGTAACCTGTCATGAGTATGAAGTGGTATCTCATCGTGGTGTTGATCAGTATGTCTGATGGCTAATGATGCCCAACGTCTTTTCATGTATTTACGGACCATTTGTATATTTTCTGTTTACTCAGATCCTTGCCCATTTTTAATTGGGTTATTACCCTTTTATATACTCTGAACACACGTTTATCACTAAACCTATGATTTGTTAATATTTTCTCCCATTCCGTGGCTTCTCTTTTCACTTTCTTGATGATGTTCCTTTGCAGCACAAAAGTTTTTAATTTTGATGAAGATCAATTTCTATTTTTCCTTCTGTTGCTAGTGTCATGACTAAGAAACCACAGCCTGATCCAAGATTTACACCAACCTTTTTCTGCTAAAGCTTATAAAGTTTCAGTTTTTACATTTTTGTTTTTGGCCATTTTAGTTAATTTTGTAAGTGGTGTGTGGTAGTGATTTAACTTCATTCTTTCGCATGATGCTATTCAGTTGTTGCAGGAGCCCTGGTGGCTTAGTGGTTATGTACTGGGTTGCAACCTACATGGTTGGCAGTTTGAAACCACCAGCAGCGCCGCAGAAAAAAGACTGGACTTTCTACTCCCATACAGTTACAATCTCGGACACCCACAGGGGGTTGGCTCGCTGGCGAGTTCGGTTTGGCTATGCAGTTGTTCCAGCATCATTTGTCCAAGACTATCCTTTTCTCCTGTAGGTCTGTTTTTTGGTTTTTACTTTTTAAATTTTTATTTTAATAAATCATATTATTGTGAGCACTTACAGCTCTTATAACAATCCATATATCATTTGTATCAAGCACATTTGTACATATGTTGCCATCATCATTTCCAAAATGTTTTCTTTCTACTTGAGGCCTTGGTATCAGTTCCTCTTTTTGCCCCTCCCTCCTTCATGAACCCTTGATAATTTATACATTTTTAAATTTTCATATTTTGCACCATCTGCTGTCTCCCTTCTCCCATGTTTCTATTGTTTGTCCC